TGATGAGGTCAGCTTTGCTAGCACGGTCAATTGGCCAGAAGCGCGGAATAATGGACAAATCCTCCACTTGCTCTCCTTTTGGGATGAAGTCCCTGACCATGAGGTCTCCGTTGCCACTGGCCGCCAACAAGGTGATGCGATGCTTCTGCTGCACTTTGAGGAGGCATTGATGGACCACATCGTGCTTGTCCTTTGCATGCTCTTGCACAACTCTGTACCCATAGATGGCCGCATGCCCCCAAATAGGGTCTGAACAGACATCTTTCAGCATTGCCTTGAATTTGCTCAAGGGGTTGTCATAGAAGGACTGGAAAGTGTCTTTGGTTGTCAGCCGTGCGTCACACTCCAAGACCAATTCACAAACTGCAGCCAACGTGAGAGTGATGGAAGGAGTCGGCAGCGAAAAGTGGACATCGGGAGTGACAACAAGCAAATGCACCTGTCGCTTATATTCTTGGTTCAATGCAGGATCAAAGACAATGACTTCGAAAGGCCCAGACAGGTTGGGCAATTTGGCCAGCGAGTCGGTTCGATCAATGAGCGGCAATAGGAGGGCGCACGCCTCTTTGGGTTTAACTTCCATGATCTGCTGTATGTTGCCTTTGGAGACAAAGGCAATACCACCTCGGTTGGTGGACAGTTGCTGCTTCTGCGCAAAGGGCACAGGTGTCTTGTCTTTGGCGACAAAGGGGTGGTCCGATTGCAGCTGTAGGTCCTCCCACTTGCTCTGCTTGGCTTGCTTTTTCTTTGACTTCCACGGGTCATCAAGTTGCCACGGATCAGGAGCCTGCATTGCGGCATCGGTTTGGGCCAAGGCTTCCATACCACCAAGGGAGACAGCAGAGCAGGTTTGCATAACCTGCAAACCTCCAACCAGCAGGAAGGTTCGGCGCACATTGTCAGCAAAGGTCCTCAACATTGCTGGTGGCGCACCAGCAACTCTCCAGGCAATGTCTGATTCACCAAGGATAAGATCAACCACCTGCCTTTTCTGTTGCGGTATATGAAAGTCAGCTGGGACTGTGAGATCCGCAACCACCCACCGATGGAGAAGCTCCCAACCACACATCCCGGGTCTTGTCCTGGTGGTGTCGACAATGATGATGGGTCGGAACCCAAAGGGAACGACAAAATCATTAGCAAAGTCAGTCCAGAATTGTTGGTCACGAACAGGAGCTTGTAGAAAGACAACTCTGCAGGTGTGTTCCCTTGCATTGCACACAACTTCAATACCGACCCAATGCCCTTGACGAAGAGCGACAAATCGTTGCACTTCGTCGGACATAGGTTTGACTCCAGCAGCAATGACAGACAAGTCATGGTGTAGAACTGGAGGGCAGAAGGACTCCGGCATGAAAAAGGAAAGCGTGAACTCAATCTCATCACTGGTGGCCCACCCAGGGTGAGTGCGGTAGATGTTGGCCCGCATGTCCAACCATTCATCAGCAACAAAGAAGATCTCATTGATGTTGTAAACATGCATGGGTCTCCCTGTCGATCGAAGGGTCAAGTCAGCAGCCCTGCTGGGGGATTCCAGGATAGCAACCAAAAAGGCATTACGACTGGCACGAGCAAATTGCAACATGCGGTCATCTGTTTGAGTATCACGCCAAATGAAGTCAGCTTGGTCAATGGCCTGCATAACATGCTCACAATATTGGGCCCTCTGCAATCTTTGTGTAGTCCGATGTGTTGCAGGAAGCAAAGGCGCACCTGCTCGGGCGTAGAAGGTCCTGAGTGTGTACCACGGCGCAAGCTCTGAGTCCTCAGCAGTACGGATCCACCTGAAGTTGTTGGGGGGAACTTGGATTCCCATGACATTGATCAATTCCAACACTGCTGTGCGTTGCCGCTGAGTCAACTGTTCAGAGGAATGGTACAAGATTCTCCACTGGCCTTCAAAGAAACGGGCTTCGACAAAGATCCAATCAAAGACCACAAGAATTGGGACCATAAAATGTTGGAAGCAAAGCTGAAGATCCGCTGGTTCAACAGGAAACCGGAACTGAGCTTCATTGCTTACCCAAAGTGCAGGTGGGCACCAGCAAATTGTAGGCATCAGAACTTGCAAAATATCACAATGAAAGAGCATTTCATCGATAGCCAGGGCTCCAGGCTCAAGGTTGAGCTGCAGCAACCTAGCCATGGTTGGGTCCTCTAGGACATTGCAGCTAGGATTCGTCGTGAGATGATCCATACCTCCAAGAACAACGGATGTAGCACCACCTGGTCGATCATCACCCCACAAGACATCTCCATTGATGAGCATGAGAGGTTGGTCCAAGCAACAGGGCACTGAGTTCCTGATAGTGATAGTGCATTGCTGCTGCAAGAGTGATGCACACTGCCGAGGAGACGCAGTTCGCGGAACTTGACAGATTTTCAACCACTTGGCATCACGACCACCACGCAAGATCACCCACTTGGCAGGGCAGACAGGTTCGTAAACCCCTTGAATACCCATCACCACTGGGAACCCAATGAGGGTTCTGCACGCTTCCGAGTTGGCTTTGATGAAATACATCGACCCATCTTGATACCGAAATCCAGGAATACTCCCAAGACGCTCGACATTTGCCTGCTGAATACAGTAAAAAGTGCCGTCCTGTAGCAAGAAAAGTAGCTTTGCACTGGATCGAGGCATCTCATCCTGGCAAACGTACTCAGCAACATGAAGGAACCCTGCCCTGGCTGCATCGACAATACCATCGAATTCAGGATCATGTTCATGCTCACACCAAGGTTGAGTTGGTGAGAGGATCGGATCATCAGTCACAGGAGCAGAGCCAAGATGGGTGATCTGCAACGATCCAATCTGGAAGGCACCACACTTCAACATCAACGCGCCGGCAGGGAGTTGAGTACAAACACATGCTGTAGGGACAACCGATCCGTCATGCACCAGCTTGATCAAGTAGAGGAGATGACCATCAAGTTCCAGTGCTCTGAGCAAGGCCAGGAGGGCAGCTTCATCGTCAGGTTGATCAATCGGCACAAGCGTCATGTCATCACAAAACCTGATCAAAGTGCTCCCAACCAGCCAAGGTTGCCATGTAGCAACACTGGGGATAGCCTTTGCCACCATATCCGCGAGTGGTTGCAGAACATACACCCCATTGCAACAGCGAACCATGGCATTCTCATTTGTGAGCCGATCGTTCCAGCATTGCTGAATGAGAGCCAGCTTAGGAATAACCTCTCCAGAGACTCCTTCCATTGCCACAAGAATACCAGCCAAAGCATGAAGCTGAGAAATGGCGTTCCCCAACTGATGAAAAGCCTTTCGGAGGTCAGCAGGCAGAGCAAGCGTAGCGGTCGTGCCAAACAAGGATGCAAAAAGAAAGGGGTCAACAAAACTAAAATCGTCCTGCCAGCTCGTGAGAGTGGCAAAAATCCCTTTAGCTTGAACATGCTCGAACTGCAACAGGTGTTGCGCCGTGTACGAAGCACAAAGGGTAGGCAGGTACTCACCGGTTGGAAGTACCCTCTGCATCAAAACCTGATGGGCGGGAGCCCCTTCAACAATTCTAGCTTTCTTACCTGGTGGAAGCAGGTTTCTGTCCCCGTAAATCTGCATCTGGTCAGCAGTCAACTTAAGGGCCTCGGTAAGCGAAGCAGGCAATTCAAAAAGGTGCTTCGGGTCATCCCACGGCAACCTCCGATGAGATGAGAGCTGGAGGCGTTCACCGATCTTCTTGGATTCAACGTCACATCGACACCAGACCGCCAACCACCTTGTACGATAGTTGCTGGTGATCTGGTGGATTGCCACGTCCTGAGACCAAACACGTCGAAAGCCTGCCAATTGCATAGCGGCCGAAATCACCCGCCAGTGAGGATGATTCTCCATACCGTCAGAACACTCAAATATGGCAAGGACAGGGCGGACTCGGCAAAGGTGCTCAACAGAATCCAAAAAGCAGAAGCCCTCATCTGAAGCAAGTCCTGATTGTTTGCCTCCCCTGCTCCAGCTCGGACAAGGCGGGGACAACGTCATCAACAAGTTGGATTTGTGAGCCGTGGCCCTCAACAAAGTCACATCGCTGACATCCGCCAGAATACCATTGTAAGCGGACAATGGATTGTAGTCGACAGGCACTGGAGCTCGAAGCACCTCCTGCTGGTGGTTATAACTCCATGTCTTCATCACTTCAGGACACCAGTCGACCGAGGTATGAGAGGCAAACACGAATCCCATATTGGTGTTTTGAAGCCACCACATCGCTCGAAGCCAGCCTTCATACGCACCAGCAAAAAGGTGTGAAACTTGCCAAGCCAAACTTCGGTCATGCCTGGATACGTTCCAGACAGGAACTGCCGCATCAGCCAAAATCCGGTGGTCACTAAGGCGGTTGGCAGGAGAAGCAAGGACGCCCACCAGCATACCAGGCGAGAAGTCAACTCTTGTATGGGTCACCGGACATAGGATGTCAAAGGAGTCCCAAGAACCTGCTTGAATCACCTCATCGGCCATGAGCATCGAAGTGCGACGGAGATGGACACACATGGTCGGTCCACGCTGAACATCACACACCTCTCCAAACAGCACCCAATCTTCATCATTGCTTCTGCACTGTCCGGTCGAGGCAGTGCCCCTCAAAGCAGCACTGACAGTAGATGCCAGGGAGGAAGGCATGCCAAAGGTAGCCCATTGCAACAAACTTTCAACAGCAATCTTCCCATGTTCATGCCCTGAGTCCATCGTCACCATGGCGTTCCGTGGCTTGGTGAAGCCAACGGTCTGTAGACGTGTCACTTCCGACCAAGCGGCCGGACAGCAACACCCCGGCCCACGCCGAAGGGGGCGTAAGCCAAAGGGCCTGAACCCAGATGGCTCGGGGGGAGCTTCCTTGAAGAAGCGTGAGCTATGCTGCGTCCAGTCAGTAGTAGCATTCTAGTAAGGTACTAGCTACTGTTAGCTTCTACTAGCTACCTACCTAGCTACTACCTACGTCTACACGTCCTACCCCCGGGCTAAAACACTAGTTTTTCAATTTCAGGAAATTCGTGAAGCTCACCAGCTCAGTTCTGGCATCAGCCTGTGTCAGTGCCCCAAGAGGTGACGGAAGTTTCGGACGTTTCCATTCAATCGTGACTTGTAGGTCGCTGTGCCCTTGCTGATCCTAATACGGTTCTGTTCCAAGATGGTTTGCAGCTCAGAGCATTCTGACTTTATCAGTTTTATCCTACAGTGTATGAGGCATCTCGCTCAAATCTTCATCCCCAAAGCTTCTTGGGGCAGGCATCGCCTGAGCATTCATCGACATGGTTATGTTGAATTGAACGCGATGAACGGGATCATCTCGGACTCAGGGACTGATGCCAAGCAAAAATGGCTGAGTTTCAGCTTACCAGGTCACTACGAGCCTACAGAAGATGGAATTTGCCGTAGAGTTTCAGGTCAAGGCAGATGAAGCAATTGATCAGATGGACGCAGAGAAACCTTCGTCCTTTCCAGGCACAAGATAGCTTGGGAGCCGAGCTGCAGATGGAGAGGAACGGAACCATGTGTGGATCCCAGATAGCACAAAAGCCAGAAGTGCCGGCGTTTTGGGCCTTTATTTGTTTTTGGGGTCAGATGTGCTCGTGTCAGCTCCCACAAGGTTGAGGGTTCGTTCTACTATCAGTGGTGGTTCTATCTCGGAGCACAACCGCAAGGCCATTTCCCATTACTCTTGAAGAATGCATGGAGAGTTAGTTGCTTCAGGTGCATGATGAAGGCTGTCATAGTGCTGGGAAAGGGATGCTTTGGTGGAATGCGTCAAGTGCCAAGCGGATGCAAGCTACCGGGGCTGTGTGTAGACGGCGCGCAGAGCAACTCCAAGGCCAGTTCTCTGGGAGGGTGACATGCTAGAGTCAGCGAAGCTCTCAAGTGTGGCCTCAGTGGCAGAGCTCTCAGTGAAGTCAACTTGAGGCAAATGGAACGAAAGGTCAGGCAGCTGAGATGCTGACAATACTGAAATCAACGGACTGCTCCGCTTGCATCACAGCTTACTTTGTTGCAAGTCAAAACGTGTCACCGGACACGGGTGGCAGGAATCGCTGACCTTGCAGGTTCGAAGGTCTTGGGAGAATGTCTGAGACTCACACACATACTTACTGGAGAAACGAAAGAAGACAGAAAAGGGATCAAAGCTCCTGGTGCACCATGAGACTGCAAGAAGACCTTCTGACATTTGACATTTGTCAGAGCAAGCCTATGCCAAAGCCGTTGTGAGGCCTTGGTGTGGCCGTGGATTTGCGAAAGACGTGTGACAAAGCTGAACTCTGAGAGGCTCATGTTGTGATAGTTTGTCACTCCACATGTCCGAACAGAAATGGCTAATGATGTTTGACATGCACATCTCAAAACATGTAACGTAGCAACTACAGTGACCTGCATTGGAGGTGGGGGTTAAACCTGCGAAATGCGAGGGATAGCAGCAACAGCTTGGAGGCCAGTTTGTCAGGTCTAAAGTTTTGGTGGAATGGGCACGCTGGTATGAAGGTCACCGAAATCGTGGAAGAAGGTGGAATTGCTCACTGGAATGAGGCTCCTATTGTTGAACCTTGAAACATTGACGTTCGAAAGGCTGCACCCATGGCAGGCCAATCCAGACTTGGCCATTCGTGTAGGGGATCGTTTGTTGGCAGTCGACCAAAGTGTTGGCCAGGGGCTCAGCAGAGGAACTCTTCGGACTTGGGACTTTAGTTCACACACGGGGCCATGGCGGCCATTCCTGAGGCTCAAAGGATATGCTGGCCGCTTTCGCAGATTCACATTCCATTTGATCAGAACTCAGTTTCTGTAATCCCCTCTCATTCATGTGTTCAGAAGAGAGCATTACAGAGTGCGTGGTGACTGCGTCGTTCTGCACTCTTTGGCGCTTTTCATATTTTCACTACTCACCACAGGTCTTTTGGTGGCTAGAGGCATCCTTATGCCTCCTCCAACTGCCCAAGCTTCGCAAGAAGTGCCCATCACAGCAACTGCAGCTATCATGGCAAAACATTGCAAAACCATTCGGGCATCAGAGTGCCTTAGGTTGTGTGCGGTCCGATCTTCAAGGGCGAGGGGGAGAAGCTTGGAATTCGCATTGGGCCATGACACTCAATTCGGATCAATTTCTATTGCAGTTGCAGCTGTACACTGTGTGCTAATATGTCTGAGGCTGTGTGTTGACTCACCTCCGGTGCGAGGACCTCAGATACGCAACGGTACTAGTGAGGCTGTAGGTCATAGACTTCCAGTTTCCCCCCAAATCTACTACTGGGTGCTCGGGTTAACTTGTCTCGAGTGGCATGAACTTGTGCCAGATGAGGTGTGCCCTTGGGGGAAGCTTTGTATGTATGTTGCCGTTGATCATAGGTTGAGAATTCGACCAAACCGCAAGGGCACACTAGGGATGGACTTTGGTTTGGTAAAGTTTGTTTGTATTTCCGGCTGATCACACGGGTGTCTACTTGCAGTTTTACTGGACTAGGGATGGACTTTGATTTGGTAAAGTCTGTTTCTTTTTGGCTGATCACATTGAATTTCGAGGAGGGCCTGTCAGAACTCGAAGAGTTCCAAGGTTTAGAAACAATCTAGGACCAAGAAAAAGTGCTTGTTTCGATGCGGTGTGCCATTGTGTTTTCCAAATTGGGTAAGTTCTTACTTTCGCGGGGTAAGCGGTGTGCCATGGGGGTGGGTCAAGTTCATGTGCGATGGGGTAAGATACCACGCCGGGTGGTGGTAGGAACCATGAACGTGCCATGAACCAACGCATTATCAACCAAGCAACCCCACCCTCAAAAGGAAGCTGGGGAGCTTCCTTGAAGAAGCCTGAACCCCAGCCTGCGTCCGATCGGTAGTAGTCGTAGTAGTAGTAGTAGTAGAAGAAGTACTGTAGTAGTAGTAGTAGTAGTAGTAGTAGTAGTAGTAGTAGTAGTAGTAGTAGTAGTAGTAGTAGTAGTAGTAGTAGATAAGAGTATGTAGTATGTAGTAGGTAGTAGTAGTGGTGGTAGTAGTAGTAGCAGCAGTAGCAGTAGTAGTAGCAGCAGTAGCAGTAGCAGTAGTAGTAGCAGCAGTAGCAGTAGCAGTAGTAGTAGTCGTCGTCGCCGTCGTCGGAGGAGGAAGAGGAGTAGTAGTAGTAGTAGTAGTTGTTGTTGTTGTTGTTTTAGTTTCTTAAGCTATTGATAATTGATAGTTACCCGTTACTTGTTAGCTACGTGTAAGCTACTAGCTACGGCCTCCCCCCGGTTTTAAGCACAACAAATGGGTGGGGAGGCCGCGAAGAGGGAGGGGAAGTACTGGCAGGAATGCAGCTACACCCATAACAAAGACAACAAGGCAAGAAAAAAACTATATATAACGTATTATATAGTGGGGACGCATAAGGTTATTATGTTGGATTTGGTTGCTAGACTGTTAGGGAAACTTCGCTTAGGCATGGCTTGCTTGTTCAGCCCGGAAATTTGAGCTCAATCGTAGTGAAGGAGGCGGGAACTTGATGCAAGGCTGTCAGACCGAATTGCTTTCAACCAAGGTGGTAAAAGATCTCCTCGTGGACAGATGGAACTCTCAGTGGGAACCTCAGTCGCTCCTTGTAGCTTTGCTTAGCCTCAGCGACGAAGGGCCAAAGCACATCTTCAGCAAGGCAACAGCCGAGCAAGCGACTGCTGCCGGGTTGTGTCGTGACAGCCGTGAACGGCTGCCGACAGAAGGACGCGTCACTCGCTGAGCTGCTTCAGCAGAAACTTTTATCAGTTCTTTATGAAAGGGCAACATGTTTGAAGCGCTTCTTACTTTCCCTTTATGTATATATATACATATTATATAGATGTTTCTCCTGATTCAGATTTTTTTCCCCAAACAGTGTTTCCACACTACGTAGGGGTTCTTACGGGAATAGTTAAGGAAACGCCTTGGCAGGCTGCGCGATGTGAATCTTCAGGTAAACATTTTGTGACAGGCGCAGCTTTTTGTGGCAGGCGCAATGTATTGTGAACCTGGACCACTGGAAGTGTAGATTTCGTGACAAGGGGCAATATTTTGTGAGTCTCAAAGTGGTGGCAAGCGCAGCAAACTTTTATGTGTGCTCCCTACGTGCATATGTGTGCTATAAACTTCCAGACCTTTGGATCTCTCTAGACTTTTAGGTCGAGAGAGAATACAGACTTCTAGAAGTATAGACCTCTAGACCACTCGATCTTTGAATCCTAGAACTCTTGAAGTCTAGAGTTCTTGATATCTCGGGATCTCAAGACCTGCACGTCACCCCTACCTGTGGACCTAGAGACCTCTACTGCTAGGCCTTTGAATCTGAAGACCTCTCTGGATCTCGAGACCTCTACATCTCTAGACCTCTCAAACTCTAGATCTAGAGCTTGAGACCTGTAGGTTTTAGGGCGTCTAGACCTAGAGCTCTTGATACCTCTGGATCCCGAGGCCTCTTTGCATCTCAATCTCCCGATGTCTTGATCTGTCTGACCTCCAGACCTCGAGATCTCTAGAGTGGATCTCGAAGCATTTAGATCTGTCTAGACCTCTAGATCTCTTTGGATCTGGATCTCAAGACCTCTACACTTCTGGAGCTCTGGTCCTAGATCTCTAAGTCAATCGGTCTAGATCCCTAGACCTTTTGCTTCTACACCTCTAGACCTCAAAGGCAAGACACTGTTCTCTTGCTGGGGGTCTCTTGCTGGGATTTTTTAAAGATCTACTGATCTACTTGTTTATTTCATTTTATTGTTAGTGATGCTTTTGCTCGCATCACTGTTTCTGCCCCCAGAAGCGTCTGAGGTTTGCCCGCGAACTCTCGAAGCAGCAGGTGTGCATTTCGTCGGAGAGCCAAGTGACCAAGGATGCGGCTCTTTGATAACTTATATAAATGCCCTTCTATGACGTGTGTGCGCTTCAATTTCCGAGGTTCACCCCAGCAGCACATTTGCACGTGACGCGCTTGTGAGATGTCGAAGTGAAGTCATTTTTTTGGAAGCAAACATATCATAAACTGCAAATGTTCAACTTTGTTTGGCAAGGGGCCTATGCCATGATGAAAGAAATGCTGGCTCCAAATTTCTTACATTATGACACGTGCTTTGGCCAAGCAAAGGGACAAATTGCTAGTGTAAAGCGTTTTTGACGAGGCAGAAAAAGAGGGCACTTCGGCAAGCTGTGCTGCGCGGCCAATCAGAATCAGTGTACCTCAGGAGCAACAAATAGCGACAAGCTCTTTCCACTTTGCAACGGCTGAAACTCACTGCCTCACAGCTGTCAGGACCTTCAGCCGTGGGTAGTGCGGACATTTCGCCCATGGGTTCAAGCCCAAGCAATCCACACCCAACAAAGCTAATACAGACTGCTCTCAGGTACCGAACTTCTTGTGGCCCAGACCATTCGAGGAACAACAAGTGGATTGGACACCAATATGAATCTGAATTGATCACTGCCACTAATTACTGTACATTGTACAACTACAACAATCTGACAAGCTCATCCAGGAGCAGTTGCGAGACCGCTTGCGAAGCCTACGTTGTGAGTGTCTGGCTCAATAGGGTCGTGTTGTGAAAGAACGAGGGAGGCAATGTGGCCTTTCCGATGTCACTGTGCTTTGCCAAAATTCTTCATGCCATCCAACTCCCCTAGTTCGCACTCTCACATCTCATGACTCAAATACTTCACAGGTGTTTGGTCATCCACGAAGCTGCTGGGATTAATCTCCGATACAGTCAAAGTAGAGTCAAGGACAAAGCTTGGGGCAAATGAGATGTTGCTCTTTGCGTGAATTAATGACTTTGCATGGAACACCTTGCCATCAGCCACACTTGAGAAGCAAACCATGCATTCGCAATAATCCACCTCTACTGAGAGGTAGAAAGGTCGGAACTGACTACCGCTGTTGCAAGTGACCTCCAAAATTTGGTGCAAAACCTATGACGCAAGTCAAGACACAAGGTGAGTGCGAGAACCCAAAAGCAAAACTGGAGCACGCTGCCTTTTGCTGAGCAGTTGGTGAAATCTACGTGTTGGCGCCAATGCGGGAGTACAGTACGAAGCAAAACGTCCAAGCCAGGAAGCAGAAAGCACTCAGAAGATACCAAGTAATTAATTTGAAGAGAATTGAATCTTTCAGTGAGGAAAAGAAGGATCTCGCAGCCAGAAATTTAAATGTTCAATAATGATTCACAAGTTGAGGGTCCAGTGTGTACTGTAGTGTCTCGTGTCCTTTGCGGGCACACACTCCCTCAAACATGTAGAAGTCGCCCGACGGTGCACTTGATCTGAATCTTGCAAACGGCCCAAGTTGCTTCATGCCACTTGCTCATGATGGGTCGCCTGAAGTTTCAAAAGCAAACGGAAGGGTAGTGCACAGAAAGGGTTTTGCAAAAACCTATTCTACTAACGTCGTGGAAGGCGCGTGACCTTCGTAGAACCCAAGGCTGTTCGTGGACAGTTCGTGGAATGGTGGGCCAGTATAGGAGAACTGACTGCAACGAAATCCCAGAAACCTTCGCAGAACTTCGTGGAAGGTATTTTTGATGCACTAACTTCGTATAAGCGATTTTTGCTGACCCCTTTCTCCACACACCCTCCGTTTAGCCTTGAACTCTTTCGGGCTGTGTGGTTGTCTATCAACGGAGCATTGGCACTCAACGGCTGCCTCATTGACCTACAAATAGGTGCTAATACAGTCGGCCGCTGCGCACAGCTATGTGGCAAAGTTTTGTGCAGAGAGCATGGGTGGCTGGAGATTCCTTAGCCCCCCCTACAAACTGCCAGGAGAGCTGACGCACATGATGCACCCTAGCGCAATTACGTGCTGCGTTC